GAGGGTGTCTGAAGCTGAGACAGAAGAGAAAGTGATAAAGACAGATGACATGGGGTTGCCCCTCCCTTAGCTCAGTTCTTAAGTTCATGCAGGGCACCCCTCCCAGGCAGCAGAAGTGGTGGGTACTTGCTGTGGGAAGGAATCAAGAAGCCTAGGCTCTGGGCTTCACTCTGCCATTGCCTGCCTGTCCAGGTCAGGAGTTTATTCAATGTGTATTTAATGTCCGCCAAGTGCCCCCTGGGAACCCAAGCAGTGGTGGTACCAGGCGGCTGGAGAGAGGCTTTCGCCCTCTTAGAATGGCCATCAGAACCCCACCCCCAAGCCACCTCAGGCTGATGGCGTGACAGCTTAATTTGTGGAAGGAAAAAACTAAGTCAAGGCTATAATTTACAGTTGGGATAATTGGCCAACCGTTAGGAAAGGGAAAAAATCCTAACATACAATCTATGTAAAAATAGTGTGCTTGCTACGCAAACTCAGCTTCAGTCCCAGCTGCCATGCACCCAACTCTCCTTTCTAAACAGGCAGCTGACCCTAAACTTCTTCTAAAGAAGAATTCTAGAACTGTCCTGAAATGGAGGGTCTGAGCAGAACAGACTTGGTACCTTTTCTCCTGTGTTCAGTCTTGCTCCTGGAAATGTGCATCAAGCACTAGGAGCTCGTGACCCCTCAAGGTGGGTAACTTGATGGGGGAAAGTCAGGGGTTGGTGGGAGCCCAGAAGAATCCCCTGGCTCAGGCTGAAGGTTTGAGAAGCCGTAAGTAGATGCCCCATAAATATATGCTGAAGAACTGCATGAAGGGCCAACTAAGCTGGGACCTGAAGCATGAGGTAGAGTTAGCCGGGTTGGCCCAGGAGTGGAAAAGAATTTCAGGCAGAAGGACAGCAAGAGCCCAGAACTGATGAGAACATGGCTAATTCCAGGAACTGATTGTCTTGGTTGGGTAAGTTGGCTTCCTGCTGGAATTAGTATGAAAGGGGCCTTGGAGACCTCCAAATGTCTGCTCCCCACCTCCCAGCTGCTGACTCCGGCTAGTAGCGTTGTCTCCTCAACACCACTCCCCCAGCCACTTACATACAGAGCCTGGCTCCTCCTCCCTGAGAGCAGGTCAGTAAGCTGAGGACCCAGAAATCTGCCCTAATGTGCTTTCAGTCTTGGCAACCACCAGTTTGGTGCACCCTTAAATTGAACGCTCTAGAAGGTAGAGACCTACAGAGGACAGAGGCATGCCTGAGGCCAGACAGGCAGCCTGCGGCTCTTAACCACCTGAAGTGAGAGGTTCCTTTGCTAAAGTAACCCCTGCCCATAGGCCCTTTTCCACACCCTCTTTCTTATTTGAGGGTTGGGGTACCCAGCTCTGACAGCTCTGCCCAGGTGGGGGCGCAGCATCCCTGAACTGAGCCTAGCCTGGCAAACGGGGCCTGGAGAAGTGGGGACAAGGAGGGGAGAGGAGGCTGGCAGGCTTAGGCACCTAGGTAGGGCTGGGGTGGAGGGAAAGCTTTAAAGAAGCAGGATTTTTAACGTGCCCCCCACCATTCAGGCAGCCATTGGTGGGAGAGGTACAAAAGCTCTAATTAAGCCCAGTTTCTAATTAAACCCAGTCCCTGTGTCTCCTCGATCCCCATTAGCACCCCATGGTGTCCCCAAGGCATTTTAAGCTGCCACCCTGCTGAGGAAGCTGGGACCGCCGCCAGGGCCTGCCAAGCCTTATGAGCTTGGGCCCCTGAGGGGCCAAAAGCCAACCCAGACTTTCCCTCCAGTCCACGGCAGTCTCTGAGCCCTCCAGTCTACTCAGAAGCCCAGGGGAGTCTCCTGGCTGCCATGTCAACCCCTGGAGCTCTGGGTGCAATCTAGACTGTCTGAGCCTTGTCCCCAGCAGTCCCACAATGTGCCAGGCTGGGCAACAGAGAGAAGGGCTTGGTGCCAGCTTTGGCTTCAGCCCCCAGTCTCAGGAATGTACCTTGAGACTTCAGCACCTACCACAGAGTCTGCGGGAAGCAGCAATTACCATTTTAGGTTAAGGCAGCCCTGGTTTGTTAACCCCTTCAGCACTAGGGCTTCTGGAGGCCAGGTTTTCCTTCTCTTCTTGCCTTCCAGACCCTGTCCCCCCAGTTCTTGGCACAATGAACAACCCCTACTTGCTGTCCCCTCCCTCACTCTTTCCACCCAATACTCCCATCAGAGTTCAGAGACAGAGAGCATCAGGTCCAAGGTCACACAGCCAGTGGAGGGAGCCTCTGCCTCTGGAGACCCAAACCTCACCCCAGTTTCTGCTGCTTCCACCTTCACCATCTCCCCAGGCCACATTCACACATGCAGAGTTTAATTAACTTTATTGATATTCAGAAATTAGGAGAATGACTAAAGGTAATTGCTCATTAAAAATCATTAAACTGACACAGCAGGCTTGGGCACACGCTGCCCCTCCCAAACCGCTTTCCTCCCCCCTCGTGGCAGGATTGCCAGCTACCAACTGTGGGAAGGGAGAATTACCGGTGGCTCATGGCACCCCTCAAGCCTAAGGCTGACTGTGCCCCAATGGCTGCAGAGGGAGTAGGGAACTGAGCCCATGAGGTTGAGCTTGGCCCAGCACCATCTTGCTGTGCCCCCCTAGGTCTCCACCTCTCCCATCTCCCGCCACTTCTGGGCCGCTTCTGGCTGCATCTGTGTTTCTCTGCCTAAACGTGAGTAAAGCTCTGAGGCTCCCCTCTCGGGGCCACGAGGCTGAGGGATGCACCATTCAGGCCACAAACGCTCACAGTCTGAGCCTCTTACTGCTTGGGGCCTCCTTCTCACAGCCGAAGACCCCAGGAGTCCTGAGATGGCTCAGTGCATTGTCTCTCAGTGAGACCACTCAGTACCCCAAGGACTGGGACTTTGCAGCCCTGCTGGGAGGAAGAGGTGCACCGGGGCTGGCGCAGGTCCAGGCCTTCTTTCCTCATGCCTGGCATTGCTGGGCTGCTTCCTCTTTTCCTTTGGGTGGGTGGGTGGGGGGGTTATAAACAAAGATCTTTCCAAGCAGGCAGACCCCTATTCCGCATACCACCTGGGGGAGAAGTCTCTTGGGCACTGGAGAGGTCCAGATGGTCAGGGAGGGACACTGGCTGAAGACACACAGACTCTCGGCCACAGAGTGAACCAGTTCTTCTCAATGCTCACACCCATGACCCCAGCGAGGCCCAGCCGGGCTCCTGGCCACCCCAGCCATCCTCCTGGAGACTCGCAGTCTCACTCTAGCCCTGCAGGGAACTCTCTGGCAGAGGCTGCATCGCACACTAGCGGCCTTCCACACTCCTCACACCCACTCACTGCTGAGCCCTCATGCAACATCCAGACCTTCTGAAACGCAGACACATTTGGACCTACTACTCCAGACACTCTGGGCCCTGATTACATTCGCAGCAACCCCACGCACCCTCACGGGAGCCTTCGGACTACAGATTAGGAGGCACACACAGGCTCTGCACCCCAAGGGAGCTGTCCAGCGCAAGAATGTGGCACAATCGCAAGACGCGTCCCAAACTCCCAGGGACGTTTTCCAACAGCTGGGCCAGGATGCAAGCTTCTCTCCCTTCTCCCTGCCCCAGCTCGGCAGGGCGTTCGGGACTTTTTCCCTCTCCCTCAATGGGAACACATAGTACTGAATTCCTGGAATCACAAAAGAACCTGGCACGGGCAGCCAGGGAGCAGAGCGAGCACACCTGGCTGTATGCTGCTAGAGATAGAGGCTCAGAGAAGGGCTTCCGTGTCTCTGAGGACACAGAGCAAAGAAAACTGCGGCCCAGGGGCCCAATCCGGCCCCATCCCCACTGTGCTGAGCTCCAAGGAGGCCTGGGAAGATGGAGCCATGAGGTTAGAAACTCCCACCTTCTTCCTCCTCCGCATCATGCACTACTAACCACACTCCTAAGGGATGGCGGGTCCCAATGCCAAGCAAGATTTCAGCGATCCCACCAGCCGACTGGCTGCAGTGGAAGAGAGAAGTGGGTGCCCGCAGTTTTGATGAGTGTTTGTTTGAGCCAGGGCAGGTTCCACGGAGACAGACTCGGAAACCTTCCTTCCGCAAGGCACAGAACCCCCCATTGTCTCCCTAACATTCCCTCACTGCCCACTTCACGGCCAAGCTTCCCCCGACCCAGGACTGATGAAGTTGGAGCCCTGAGCAAGTGGGGGAAGGAGGACCTCAGGGTCGGGTGCCAGTCCTCCCGTGAAGAGTCTGCTGCCATGGGGTGGGTGGGGGCCGGAGCAGGACGGCAGGCTGGGAGGGAGGAAGAGCTCTGGGAGTGTGCAAGGGTGGAGGGTGGAGGGAAAGGGCTCCGGGGAGGACGGAGTTTTTATCCCAAGACTTCAGCTGTTGCAGCCCAGGGCAGAACAAGGAGCCAGATAGGGGTCCCCGGGCCCCTCGAGTTTCTCCCTGGAATGGTACTCTAAATCCCGACCTCTGGGTGGCAGCGCCAAGGCGGAGAGAGGTGGGCGAAGTCCCAATTCCGGGTCCCGCCGCCATCTGGCCCCGTCCCTCCGCTGTGAGAGGCCCCGGAACCGGCGGCAAAGTCGAACGAAGTTTGGCGGGCGACAGGGGAGGCGGGACTGCGGGCCGCCAGCGGGACCGTCCCGACTCACTGCCCTGTGCCGTCCTCCCCCCGGCACGCGCACCCCAACGCTCCTAGACGCCCAGGGAGTATGGAAAGGTAGCGCGCGGGTGAACGCGTGAGTGTGTGCGGGGAGGGGTGGCGTGATGAATTGCAGCTGAGAAATCCCATTAGATCCGGAGAGATGATTAAAGGCGAGGTCTCGGCCGGGTGCGAATGGCGGGAGCAGCGGCAGCTTCCCGCCCCGCGGAGCCCGCTCCCCGCCCGGCTTGGCCGGAGCGGGGGGCAGAGCAACCGGCGGAGCGCGGTGCCCGGGCTGGGCAGCCAGATACGCGGAGCTGAGCTCGGGGACAGTCCTCTCTTCCCACCCCCGGGACCCTGCCCCTGCCGCCGGACGCCGGGGTCCCTTACCGTGAGCCAGGAGCGCCAGCAGCGAGGGCAGGAGCAGCAGGGCTGCCGGGGGCATGGTGCCGGTGGCGGCCGCGCCCCAGATCGGGGCTGCGACGGGAGGGCTGGGAGCTCAGCAGGGCTCAGGCGCGGGGGACAGAGCCGGGTCCGACCCGGGAAGAGGGAGCGTGGCCGCTGCCACCGCCGCCGCCGCCAGCGCCTGACAGAATCAGCACCACGGCCAGCGCCTGGCGTCGGCGCCGGGGATCGCCGCGCGGGCTGGGGGCGGGGGCGCGGGAGGAGCGGCTTACCGTAAAGTCTCAAGCAAAGGCGCAGAAGACCCAGAGGCGGGAGGACAGCCTCCCTGCGCCGCCGCCAGCTCTGAGGAAGGACTTCCCTTGCTAATGTGGGCACACGGCCCCCGCCCTTCCCCGCTGCCCACGCCCAGCCAAGTCTGCCGCCCTCTCCCTCATTAGCAGCCTACCGAGGAGGTGGGGTTCTAACCTGAGGTCTCCGTGAGAGAGCCACCCTGTCACCATCTCTCCCCACCCCATCCTGGTACCTGAGGGCGCCAAGGGTGACCTGGGGAGGCGTCCGCGAATGAGGCAGCGGGCGAGGCCCGCGTGCCCTTGTGGCAGCTCCGTCCTGAGCCTATAATGAAGATGGCTTTTGAGCGTACAAAGGACAATAAATTATTACTTTGCGCTCAATAAATGCCAGGGCTCCAGGCAGCTGCATCAGCAGCAAACTGTGCTCACAGAAAAGCTTAATTATCCTGATATTATAGTTAAAAGCCAGTAGTACTCGTGTCCTGGGAAGACATTCTACATTTGGCAGGAGCTAACCTGGCCAAACTGTGGGCAAGTGAAGGTAGTATCCTGGGTCCCCATGTGGCCCTGAATCTCCAGGACCCTGCCTTGGCCCGCCTACAGGACCAGAGAAGCCACAATGCTAGCCAGTGAGAGCAGACCCTTCACATCCATCCCTGCCCAGGTTCCTGGAACTGGTGGAGAAAATGACTGGGGTGGGGTGTGTGTGTGGAGTGTGAGGGCATTTCCCTAGGATTATTTTAGATAGAGACTTGAAGGAAGGCCAGGGGGGTAGCCAGGGAGGTGGTACCATTCAAGGACATGGACAAACAAGCTTCGGGGGCTCTGCTTGGACTGAGGAGCCCCAGTGAGTCACAGAACAGCAAAGAGGGCAATCAGATCCCTGAGGCAGATGTTTAGATCCAGAGGTTTTTCTGGCTCCAAGGATGAGCTCACTGGAAGAGCCTCAATAGACAAATGGGACATCACCCTGTGACCAATGTTATTCTCCTTGTAGAGGAAGAAGAGGGCTGAACTTCCTGCGGCTCCCTGGGAGAATAGCTTTCTGTTTAGGTCTTTGCGCATGAACTTGGCTCTTCTCCAAAGCTTCCAGACCCCAGTCATTGTCCAATGCCCTTCCTTGTCTCACCCTGGAAGCAGGTGGCAAGACTTCCACTCTGAAGTCTCATTCCTCAGAGTCTTTTGGTCCTTACTACTATCACAATTTTTCAGCTCTACTTCTCAGATTCTCTCTAGATTCTCTTGCTGTGGGCTCTGAAGAGCTACCTTGATGGCTGTAAATAAGCCTAGACAACAGGCAGGTGGCATGTAGAATTATCTGGGGGTATCACTGGGAGAGACTTTCTGGACAATCGTTTCAAGAAACAGAAGAAACAGGACAGTAGCAGATGGATGGCAGAAGGGAGGGGACTTGACAAAAGAATCAGAGGTAAGGAGAGAAAGCCAGGAAAGAAGATGCAGAGGGGAGGGAGGAAGAGAGTTGCCAACAGAGGATGGAGGTGGAAGGTTTTGTGGCTTAGGGGAGGAAATGCTGGCAAATGGCAAGAGATTCCTCCTTGAAGTTATTTCTGAGCTCCTCCTGATTCTCTGGCTCCTCTGAACTACGCAACTTGGGCAGAGGAGGGTGAATCATGACCCAGGGATGAACCTTGTGTGCCAGGATGATTCATGCGAATTTGGAGGCTGGTGGAAACTGTGTTCCTTGATAAGCTGGGCAATACTCACAAAAAGGAGGAGCTCAGGAACCTGTCACATCATGGTTTCTATTGCCTGAAATAACCGAGGCATTCAGGAGTGTGTGTGTGGGGGTGTCCAATAAAGACTACAAGTCCCAGAATTCATCACCCTGCCCTGAGCTCAGAGGATGGATTTGTCCTGCATTATGGGAAAAATATGCACCTAGGTTCTCTGTCCCTCCCTCCTAAAGATGGTCAACGTGGCCTCTCTGCAATGGGCTCCTAGCTAGGTTGAGGCAGAGATTGCACCAAATTGGGAAGCAGTAGAGTTTCTGTCAACACCTATCTTCAACACCTCTGTCAACACTTCAAGGGGCTCATTCTGCCCAGATCTTAGCATCACCCACAAATTAAGTACAATAAGATGCCCTAGGGAACACTGAGCTCTATGCTACAGATTTACAATGCACTCAAGTCGTATATGCATTTGAAAGTGGCAGCCTGGGGGGACTTGCAAGGCTCCCTTTACTGGTCTTGTTTCTCCTCTTTGCTTTGTGTCCCCAACCTGATCATTACCCCAGAGGCTCTTGGACCTCCTTGTCTATGTAACTGCTTGCTTAATTGTTTTCTCTATTAGTTGTCAACTCTGTGAAGGCACAGAACAAGTCTATCTCTTCCACTCCCAACCTAACTGGTGCCCCACATATAGTAGATGCTTAATAAATATTTGTGAATAAATGATGTCATGCCCATGGCAGATCATTGGTGCTAAATTCATGCTGTGAGATAATGGAGAAGGGGACAATTGCTTTTGGGGGTGAAGGGAAGTCATTGAGAGCTTCACACAGGAGATGGGTTGACTGAAATCAGCCTTTTTTTGGTTGATAATTTTTTAAAAAGCATTATTTTTTAAAAATTTATCGACTCCCCTGGGTCTTAGTTGAGATAAGTGGGATCTTTGATCTTTATTGCGGCATGCAGAATCTTTAGTTGCAGCATGTGGGATCTAGTTCCCTGACCAGCGACCAAGCCTGGGGCCCGCCACTGAACCACCAGGGAAGTCCCTGAAATTAGTCTTAATTACACCTTAGGTTTCAGTCAAGGGAGAGGAAGAAGGAGGGTATCCAGAGTGGAGGGAGTGATTTATGCAAATACAAGGTGGTGGCAAATGCAAGGTGAGCTGGGGTCAGTGAGAAGACTGGTTCTGGAGGAGCAGGGAGTCTCCGTAGGGACACAGTCGGAGCAGGGAGGGGCCAGGCTTTGTGGTCGTCTGAGTCACAGGACAGCCTCAGTGACTATACTGCAAAGGGTTATGCCATCACAAAGATCTTTACACCAAAACCAGAAAATCTGGAGTTCTTACGGTGGGTTTGCAATGACCATGGCCAGTGACAGGAACTGAGGGGTTTACTGCTCACTCAGATGCTGGGGGAAGGGATCTGAGTTACAACAGCTGCATTAGGACTGGGAGCTAGAGAGGGGCTTTCCAACCTCAGGACTCTCCTAGCCTCTGGCCAGAGCGTGCCAGACATCCAGCACAGCCCCCCTGGAGAAGCCAGCCTCAATTCCCCGCTCCCAAACGCCCATCAGTTTGAGGCATCACGGTCATATTGGTGACTTATTTTGAAGTGTCTGGATGACACTTCCTTTCTGAGTGAGAGAAGAAGAAAATTAGTCTTCAAGACAGCTTTCAAACCAAAGCTACATCTTGTGGAGCCAACGGGGTTTTGAAGTTTCAGGGAAGCAGGGACAGGGGCTACCTCCTCTGTCCAGAGACTCCTGGGGCAGAGGGCAGTCTGCTCACCTCAACCCACTCCTCAGGGGGTGTTCCAAGACCCTGCAGCATCTAGAACAGTCTGGGATGCCATGGCTCCAACCAAGCTTCCCTTTGTACGTGCCTGCTCAGTTGCTGAATTGTGTCTGACTCTTTGCGAACCTATGGACTATAGACCGCCAGGTTCCTCTGTCCATGTGATTTCCCAGGCAAGAATGCTGGAGTGGGTTGCCATTTCCTTCTCCAGAGGATCTTCCCAACCCAGGGATTGGATCCACATCTCCTGCATTGGCAGGCGGATTCTTTACCCCTGAGCCACCAGGGAAGCCCCAGCCAGGCTTCCCAGAGAATCCAAAATCAACCCTCTGAATTTAGGGGCAGGAGGAGGGCCCTGCTCTCTTAAATGGGAGTCCTAGCTACTCAGTATTTGCTCCTGCTCTGGGAGGAGGACCAGATCAGCTCTAGCAAGAGCCCAGGGTGGGTGGAGACAGCAGCAGAAAAGGGATGTGAGCTGCTTTCCATCTCTAGACTGAGGCCTCCAGCCTGCCCACCACCCCCAGCCAAGGTCTTTGATCCTCCTCAGCTCCATAAATGTTTAATGCCACTGGCTGGGCAGAAATGAGGCAGGTGCTGAAGCACAGAGACTGGGCGTAGGACTTAAGATCCATGATGCTGGCTAGATTATTTTCATGTAGGAGCCCCAGGATGGGTGGGAGGAGGCCTTCCCCCTCCATGTGACTGAAATCCCAGGATTCAAGTTTGTGGCACTAATGAAGGAAACTCTAAAAACCCACCAAGGGGCTGAAAATAAAATGAATAATCAATTGCAGAAGCCCAGTTCCCGGTTTGATTGAAGGAGAAAGATGGAAAGTTAAATGACAATCAAATGCAAATATAGCTCAACAAACACTACAGCAATTACCAGGCGCAGGAACCACATGGTGTTTGCAGGCAGCAGGGGTTGGCAATTTGGAAGCCTGGGCTTATGCAGAGGTGATGGGCGTGGGGCCATTTTAATGGACATTTAAATAGATACAACACCCCCCCCCCCTTCCTGCTTCTACTTTGCATACACTGCTACTGAATGGGGAACTGGCATTCTGCATCCAGAGGAAGGTTATACCACCTTCTGTGGCTGCCTCCGCATCATTTCAGAGTGGAAGAGGACTCGAGTGCCTGGTAGGTGAGACCAAAGTGGCCCTTGGTTCAGAGGACCTTGACATGGTCATGCCAGTCTCATCAGATTCTTCACATTGCCTGGTGCAGAAGGGATGAGGGTTGAAATTAAAAGAAGTCTGTA